TATGCAGGACAGCCTGTGGGAATAATTGTTGCAGGTATGAAACATATAAAAATATGCATAATATCTTAAAAATTGCTTCATCAAATTAACACTCAGGGATAAAGAAAACATGCTGATGAAAGGTATTTTATTATCATGGGATGTGCAATTTGGATTTATTTACTCCTCATTCTTAATGCCAGACCTCTATAAAATAATAGCAGATGAAAATTCTGGGGGAAATATGTTTCAATTTTTATTTTAGAATCACAGCTTATTGCTGATGCTGCAGTCAAGGCAGTGAAGATTACATACAAGGATAAAAAGACCCCAATTCTGACCTTTGAAGATGCCATCAAGCACAAATCCTTCTACAAGGACCCAGAAAATGAAATCACCATTGGAGATACAAAAGGTACATAGATATATACATATATTTAAATATCCTACAAAACCTCTAACACTTTCAGAAGATATAGATCTGTGTGTCATAATAATTGCCTCATACTGTTCATTTATTTGCTGGCATGTTGAATGCCCTGCAAGTGTACTCTTTCTGTAAATTTATCATCTCATGTCATTTCAGCTGCTCTGGCCACTGCCCACAAGGTCATCAAAGGAAACATTGAAGTGGCCACCCAGGCACACTTCCCTATGGAGACACATGTACGTTCATAGTATTTTGTGTTGTAAAGTGTAGTGTAGTGTAGAGTAGCGTAGTGTAGTGTAATGCAGTGTTGTGTAGAGTAGCACAATGCAGTGCATTGTACATGTAGTGTAGTGTAGCATAGCATTCAGACCGTTGATGTTTGATGGTTCATATGTTATTTCATATATCATGTACTAAAAGATATATAATATAATTTCACAATATTTAATTAAATGCAACCTGTAGTTTTTATAAATAAATGGAAGTATTGTTTTTATTGGTAATAAGCCTGTGTTTCTAAAAGTGCTTTCTGTTAAACCTATATAAGAGGTTCTTTTTTTTAAAGTGCACTGTTACCATCCAACTACAATGTACATGTATATCTAGTGACTTGGACGCAAATATGATGAGCCTGTGTTTATGTTCTTTACAGATCTGCCTGACAGTTCCCAAAGAAGATGGCTACAATGTCTACGCTGCTACACAGTGGATGGACTTCGCACAAAATGCAGTAGCACAGGTGTTGGGGGTGCCTTGTAACGAGTAGGAAATTTGTTAATTATGACTTAATATTACACAGTTGTAGTCTACATCTAAGTTTAAATTTTACAATTTAGGTTTTTATACTGTTAAGTTTTCGTAGGAAGAATGTATTATCATCTGCATATCCCCTCCTTTTGGTTTACTTAAAGACACACGAAGATATATGGAACCAGTAGCATTTAGCTATCCAGAAATTTCAACACGTTTCCCTTTTTTATCAAAATATACCAAAATATTTCACAGAATTGTGATCTATAAACCAGTGTCTTAGTTTTAGGTTTGCATTTTTTTTAGTTTGACTCATGATTTAGGTAAGGACTGGTGCATTTCACAAATGACATTTAGGATTAGAAATTGAAACTTGAAAATAGGTTCACAGATTGTCATTGTTTAATGGTTTTGGACAGGACACATATTGGAAATAAAGGGAAAATTCCCAAGATTTTTATTTTAGGTCTAGTGGACAAAGTATGCACATGAACAGAAGTTGATAATATGTTTCAGTGTTAATATGGAAGTGAGAAGACTGGGTGGTGCTTACGGTGCAAAAATTTCTAGAAGCTTCCATACAGCCTCAGCCAGTGCCCTTGCTGCACACCTGTTACAAAGGTAAAAATAATTAAAATGAATAAGTTAACCCTAAAAAATTATTGTGATAATACTGTGTATCGTTATACAAAAATACATCAAAATTCACTAAATAACCTATTCTGTTCAGCATTTTTACTGCATTTACATTTTACTGCTTTGCTGTCTTGTTTTATAAACTCAATCTCTCATATTTTCTGTTACAAAGATGAGGAAATAATACTGTGCAAAAAGATTCCTCTGTTTATCAAAGATTAATTTAGTAATACAGAAGATTGCAGTTTTATTGAATTAATTTCACTGTAGTTTAACACTTCTTTTCTTACAGACCTGTCCGCCTGTTAATGACTATGAACACAATGTTGGAGTCCTGTGGCAAAAGGTTCCCCTACTATGCTGAGTATGAGGTAATGAGAGGTGAAATGTAAAATTACTCTCCACCTGCACTGGAACTGTTGATTGGGAATTCAATTTCAGTTTTAATTAGTAGTAGTAAGTCTAGAGAGAAAAAAATCACCCCAGAGGTTTGTTTATTTATTTATTATTTTCTCTGTTGTCAAATAAAATTGACTTGCTGAAATGCATAATACACTTTATAATGCAGTGATTAAGTAGTACATGCTCATAAATTACAAAGATGCAGTGTCAATTATCTAAAATGATAACAGGATTCCACAGTGTATGTTGATGTATGTTGTAGGTTGGAGTGAGTGCAGAAGGCAAGCTACTGGCTGTAGATGCTAAGATCTATGGTGATTGTGGTTCCAATCGCAATGATTCCACCATCAAGCATACCATGGGGGTCATGGACAATGGTATAGTGTGCATTTAAGAAGAATTTGATAAATAAATGATAGTTGACGATTAATGATTATCAGTAGGATTCTTGTAGTCTATTTATAATATTTTTTATAAATTTCTTGTTGTTTATATGTTGATAGTCCTTCTGTTATTAATATTTTCTGTACACTGTTTATAGTTGGAAGCATTTATTTTTATCCTGGATTGTCACAGTGACAAAAAGTATCGTTTGGAATTTTGGAAGGGACTTTTTGTGGTAAAATAAATAGAATGCAGTATCAAGATGTTATTTTGATGTTGTATGCTTCTGTAGGTATGCTAGTTTATGACCATGAACGGAAGCTTTTCCTCAGCTAATGTAATTTTTATGTACTGTTTTCTTTAGATTTTTTTAACAATTGTTCTCTATTCCAGCTTACCAGTGTGATAACTGGCACACATATGGAGTGACTGTAAAGACCAACACACCACCCAACACTTACTGTAGAACTCCAGGTGAGTAGAAACATTCAAATTTTGTTAATGCCACCTTTTCCTTTTCACAAGGTTTTATGTTGTGATGCCTATAGTATACCATGATTTTATCATGATTTAGTGATAAGTCTTCACAGAATATAAGATGATGAATTTATGGTAATAGAAGTTGAAGTCAGTGATTTTGTTTCTTTTGTAGGCTATACACCAGCCATATTCATCATGGAGAGCATCATAGAACATGTGGCCAAGGCACTGAACAAGGATCCAGTGGAAATCCGTAAACTCAATTTGTACAAGGAAGGAGAGGTGAATTAATATACTTTTCAATAACTATGAAAATACATTGTGCAGTCTTTTCTATTTATTAGGTATCACTAATACTTCAGTTGATTATAAAACCCTAAAAGAACTTTTGAATTATCTTATATGATTAATTGGAAATATTTTTGTCATTTTTTATGAAAATGCTGGATTTCCACTGGTGAATATTTTATTCCATATATGAAGATGTGCACAAGAGGGAAGGCATGCCATTTTTCACACATTTAGAGGGATTTACCTTTCTTTTCTGCCTTTTGACAAAGTAATGTATTTCAACTAACCATATTGGACATTTTCAAGTATTTGTATCTAGAGGTCCAACTGATTCACACAGTTCTGTTCTATTTCAGACTACTCTACGCAAAGAGGTTCTGCAGTATTGTAGTGTGTCCAAAGTCTATGACCAGCTGCTGAAGTCAGCAGATGTGCAGGCCAGGGCACAGAAAGTGGCTGACTTCAATAAGGTAGGTTGTAACTGCCTTTTGGAGTTTCATTAGTGCTTCAGTGTAAAGCTGTAAGATTTGTTACATTTTAAAGAAAGAACCTGCCTCTTTTCATTTTCTTACTATAAAGCACATTTATTTAATACAGTAATATTTTCTCTTTTATTTATTGTAACATTCAGAACAACCGTTGGAAGAAGCGTGGCATGTGTGTTATGCCCATGAAGAATGCTGTGTCCTGGAACTGGTATATGGGCAATGCATTGGTCAATATCTTCAATCATGATGGCACAGTGGCTATTGCACATGGTGGTATAGAGATGGGACAAGGTATCAACACCAAGGTACAGGAGTTCGAACTAAGAACGGCTTTTTTTACAAGAAATAAGAAAGACGAATGGCTTTTTATTTTATTATGATACATGCTTTTTTCATTAAATGAAATTTGAAATACAGGAGTTTTGTAGTTACATATTTTAGTTGCAAATTATTCCGCATATATACAGTTTATATATAGTATGAAAATGGTATGAAATATATAGATGGGTGTGGGATATTTTAAAGTAACAGCATGTTATAATTAATATAAGTGGTCTATATGATCATTTTTCTTCAAAGATAATGTTTTGAAGTACAATTTTTGATCAATTGCATGTTACAGGTAATTCAAGTAGCAGCACATACCTTGGGTGTCCCAATAGAGTTGGTTAAGTGCAAGCCAAACAGCTCCATGTGTAATGCCAACAATATTGCAACGGGTGGGAGCATCACCAGTGAAATGTCCTGCAAGGTAATGCGACTCTCAGGTGTAATTTTAAAATTTGGGGAGGGGTGGGGGGGAGCATGATGATCATCTGTAATGGACATAATTCTTACTGGATCTAACTAGGTTGTTGCATTGCTACCACAGTAAAATGTTCTTGTTTAATAGAAACTGCCACACATTATATTATTTTATTTTGTGTATCAATGTTTATAAAACCTATACTAATTTTAAGGCTGTGTATGAGTGCTGCAAGACATTGAAGGAAAGGTTGGAACCAATCCAGAAAAACCTGCCACCTGACACTCCATGGCCACAGATGATCCAAGCAGCTTTTTGGCAAAAGGTGGATTTGTCAGCCAGATATTAGTAAGTGAAAAAAAGACAATTAAATGCAAGAAATTCCAGAATATGTTATTGTTAAAAATGTATATGCATGTGCATGTTATGTAAGATAAAAACTCAAAAGAAAACAATTTATTACAGTGTTGCTCCCCGCGGCTCTGGGCCTGATTACTTTGTGTATGCTGCTGCATGCAGTGAGGTGGAACTGGATGTTCTAACTGGAGAAACAGTGGCACTGAGAACAGATATTTTGTATGACTGTGGAAAAAGGTGACCAGAGAAAACCCAAATTAATATGAAATTTAAAATATATTTTATATTTATCGGAATTAAATGATGAATACTTTTTATTTTAGATTCATATTGCTGTTTTCAAAATCTAAATAAATGCCTTTAAAGGTGTGATAGACATTTACTTTCTTAAATTTGCATTTAAAGTGTCACGAGAAATTATTTATTAAATGAGTTGTAGCTTAATTTTAGCTGTGTCGTTGATTTGGATGCACTCATTTCTTACTTCAGTCTTAGCCCAGAGATTGACATTGGTCAGATAGAAGGATCTTTTGTGATGGGTTTGGGCTACTGGATGACAGAAAAGACCAGATTCAACCTGGAGACTGGAAGAAACATCACTCATGGAACATGGGTATGGAAATCATTTCATCAACAAGATTCAAATTACCATTAGACCCTGTATTATTTTTCACCTTATACTAGACTTTCATTTATCTCAAACAATTCTTGTCATATGGGTTTTTCATTTGTATTTGTTTGAATTAATATGATCATTGCTTACTTAAATCTTAAAGTGATGAACATAATTCCAGTTCCTTAAGTGAGTGAGTTATTTCTCTGCTGTTTAGACTACTGTACATACAGTTTCCTTTTAGTAAGGTTACTTTTTCAGTTATATAAAAAATGCCCTTTTGTCATAGAAGTGTTCATGTTTTAATTTATGCCACTAATCATTTTAAGGAATACAAGGTACCCTTGGCTAAAGACATCCCCAGGGACTTCAGAGTGGAGCTCCTTGATGAAGCACCTAAACCAGTAGGGTTCATGGGATCTAAAAGTAAGGGAAAATTCCTATCCGAAGTTAATAAAAATTGAAATAATAATAATTTTTTTTTTGGTATTTTACATCTCTTATGAGCATCAGTATGCTTGATAAATTTTGATAATTGATTTGAATTGATGAAAAAATTATTTTTTAATTTTATACTTCAGCTGCTGGAGAGCCACCTCTTGTTCTCAGTATGTCTGTACTGTTTGCTGCCAAACATGCTGTCCAGGCTGCCAGAGCAGACATTGGGAAGGACAAAGAATACTTTGCTTTGAGTAAGTGGACAACTAATATTTGAATTTACTCAAAGTAATGAAAAAATCTTCAAAAGGACTGCCAATTCCAATTCTTAACTTTAGGTTTTGGAGATTTTATTTCCTCTGATAAATTATTTATGTTTTTAACATATAAGGGTGGATGCTTAGTATTTTGCATCTCTGATTCAAGTGTTTTTTTTTTACTTTTTTTTTTTTAACTTACAGATGGCCCTGCAACTGCTGAGGCCCTGCAGCAAGCATGCCTTGTAGAGCCCAAACACCTGACCTTGAAAGCCTAAAGACACAAGAAGCTGGAATGTGGAGTGGACAGTCTACATCTTATGCAGTCAAAGAATAAACACTCCAACATTTAATTTTACCCATGTGCATCTCTTATATTCCAAGTCGAAAAATTATTTCAGGATATCCTCATGGTATAGGACAAAGGGCAGGGATCATAAATTTCAGTTAAATTTTTCATCGAATGAAAAACAATAGATAATGCATAGACAAATTTATTGAAAATGAAGTCTTATATTGTCATTTATTCCTATGCCTTTTTTTTCAAATTTTGATACCAGAAAAAAAACAGCAAGAGAAAATGGCATGTTTTAAGCACAATTTAATTTTTTTAATTGTTTTATATATTCCTTGCACATTCCATTGTAATTGAAGGTTTCTTATATGTTATTCTTCTTTTATTATAAATCCTTAGCTTTGAAATAATTTTCATGTTTTAACATTCATTGAAATATTGAATTAGAAAAATTGAGTGTTATAAAGGAAAGCACTTGTATCTGGAAAAGTATAACTTACATAACTTTCATATCCCAGCACATATGAGATCTATTTAATTGGATGCTTGTGTAACATTATAGAAATTTTAACCTATTTAAATGGAAGATGGCCAGTAAGTGCATATCTTTTTATTGCCATTTGAAACCTGTCTATATATCTGTATTCTCTACATATACAATATCAACTACAATTTATCCAATGTACAATGTTATAGACATCTATTTAATTGGAAACTTGTGTGACATTTCAGAACTTTTATATCTGTTCGTATTTAAATGGAAGATTTTGCCATTTAGTATCTATTTAATGCCATTTAAAGTATATATATATATATATATTCTTTATTTACAAATACAGTTCCCTTTATTATTGGTCTAAAGCTTGAACTTTCTATAAGAGGGGAAAAGGGAGCCAGTTTTGAATGAAAAAAATGTTTAAAGCAGGTCTTACTGATTTAGCCAGTTATTTTGAAGATGAAATTTCTCTGAATCTTCGTCTTTTTTCTCATGAATATATGATATATATATCAAAAGTACAATGTCTTTTTGCATCTCCATTTCTCACCATTACTGTGCAGCAAGTGGTATTCACCAAGCAAACTATGGTTGGCTAGAAGTGTAGGAACAACTGCTAGTGACATCTTTCAAGTAGGTGATGTTTGTAATGACTTGTTTTTGAATTATTTCTTTTATTAACTGTTGCCTCACAGGTCAATTTCGCTTTAGATCAAGTTCTCCAGACAACACTTGCATTTTACTTCTGCACATTTCAGTATGACCCGCTTTGAGTACATTTATCATTGGTTGTGGACAGTGTAACAACAGCATATAACATATTTGCTTTGTTAACAGAGCCCAAATATAAAAAAAGAATAAAACTGTAGATTCACAAACTATGCTAAACATTTGCGTTTTTCTCCCAAAAACAAAGCTTTGCCAGCATTTCTTAAGGGAATGAATAAATTTTACAACCGAGTTTAAATTATAAAACAATTTTTTTTAATATTTAATCAAATTTACACCAGGCATGAGTTTTTTTTTTCAAAAATGCATAATTCAATGATTTTTAATTCAGTCCTTCAGGCACTTCAGTCGGTGCCAATATTCAGATCTTTTCAAAACCCACATAACATAAGGCATGTGCAAGACTCTATTTCCTCCGTCAACTGAAGCGAGCTAAGCTCAGCCCTGCTGACTTAATCCAAGTTTACCAAAGTATTGTGCGCTCAATTCTAGAATATGCCTGCCCTGTATGGTATCCAGGACTAACTATAGAGCAATGCAAACTTTTAGAGACTGTCCAAAGTCGTGCGTTAAAAATTATTTTCCCTGACCTACACTATGATGAAGCCCTGAACCTGGCAAATATGTGCACTTTAGAAAAACGAAGGGAAGATCTGTGCAAAACTTTCTTTTACAAAATAACTGAATCCTCTGACAAATTGAATCACATCTTAATTGAGCATTCCAATCGTCTTTTAAGATCTAACAATAGATACAAAGTGCCAAAATTTAAGACCGACAGATTCCGATACTCTTTTATTCCATATGCACTTTTAAATTTCCAATAGTATTATGCTGTCTTTTATCCTAAGTACAATAATTTTAAAGTTCAGTTAGCAGTCTAAGTACAATAATTTTAAAGTTCAGTTAGCAGTCTTTTAACTCGGTTTTATTCATGCAAATATTCATTTTATTATCATTATAAATTTTTTTTAAACATTCTATGTACAACTTCAACCCACTGGGTTGCAATCTTAATAAATTATTATTATTATAACAACACCTTGAATGTCCTCTATAAAGGAATCAAAATTAATTTACTGAAGGGCACATCCACCAGTAAAATGGACAATGCTTTTACATAATCCTCATGAATGTTTGAAAACTGGAAGTGTAATCTTGCCAACCTCAGGTGTGATTTGTATCACAGACAAATGTACCAGTACCACATGATAGTTTTTAATCACTGTCATCGTGCTGCCTACTTCTTATCGACCTTTTGCCTTGTTTTCTACTTTTAAACTTTGTGCTATCTGGTCTGGATTCTTCTGTGAGAGCCTTGTCCGAATCTTCTTCTAAGTGATCTAAATGAAGTGTAGCTGATGCTACTGGTTTGGCAGCATCCATTTTATGTTTTTGTTTTGTCTTTTGTTTCGGCTTCTCTCCTATCACATACTCAGGCATGACAACTTTGCCTCCTCGAAACTCGGGTTTAGATGAAAAAGTGTGAGAAGTATCATCAGACAAATGTGATGGTGCTGGTTTTTTGAAGACTGGAACCTTAGATGCCCCAGGATAATCTTCATCACTGACTGAATCTTTAGCTGAACTTTCTCTTAATTTTCGTCGCTCCTCAAGAAAAGACAGAGCTGCACTCGTATTGCTGGCTTCGGACAACTGACTCTCCGGGACATCCAAATCATATCGTGTCCATTTCTCTGGGTGAATGCGATAATCTGGAATGTTTCTATTGCCCCTCCGTTTCGCTGGCACAGGAAATCTTCGGGGAGGCGCTGGTCGTTTGAATGGTCTCCTCAGCTCTTCCACCACCACGGGTTCCGATTTCAACAATTTATCGTCCTCTGCCCTGTCTGATCTCCTTCTGTGCTTTTCATATGCATGGTGTTTATCTTCTAACGCGTTGAGACAAGAAAACACATCGGAGCTCTTGTTCTTAAAGGAGGTACTGACTCCATTTAAAGCAAATCCTGACTGTTTGTTGTCTGGTGAAGAACTCATGATCTTGTTTGTGTACACAAGAGCATAAATGTTTGTCAGTAAATAGTATTATTAACTAACAAATACTTTAAAGACGTCGAAAAGATGTTTTTGTTTACATGACCCAGAAACCACGCACCTTCAAGGGCGCAGCCATATTGAATACGGAAATAGCCGAAGTTGGCGGCATGTTTTTTCATGTCAATTAAATCCAATATATGTAATTAAACATTAATATGTGTCATTAAATATGCACAATTTAAGAATTTAGATTACTTCAGAAAATAATTTTAGTCGGAATTTAGATTTTCATTTTTCTGAAAAAAGGCGGAAACAGTCGAGCAGCCGGCGCCATAAAGAGTTAGCTTGTCATTGTTCAGATACTGACGGTGCTACACCAGATATTTCGGATTATTAGACCTCCGATACTACCAAAATGAGTGGTGGGGTTTATGGGGGAGGTAAATTGTATGCTTTGTATTCTCTCTCTCTCTCTCTCTCTCTCTCTCTCAAAATAGTATAACCTTATAATGAAAAAAATCATGAGTTTAGGTTCCAAAATCCCTGACTATATTGATATTATTATTAAAGGCCTTCTTATGTGATGATGCTTAAATTATTTACCACCACATTATCATTCAGTGGGCCTTTCCTTTAGAAATAAAAAGAAAATCATTTTAAATTTGGCTTGAACTTTCAGATGAGGTTGGTGCCCTCGTGTTTGACATTGGTTCCTACTCCTTCAGAGCAGGCTATGCAGGGGAAGACACACCTAAGGTAAGGACATTGTTATTGTAAGTGACACAAGTTGTGTGTCGTTGAACAACCTGCATTGCAATCAGTGTCTTCTCCAGATGTGAAAACTGTTCAATTCAAATGACTTGGAAAATGGACTAAGTGATTCTGATGATGATAAACAAAATATTACCTAACAACATGTTAAATGGTCATATTATTTGCATTTATGTTTTTAACTTAAACAGCAGATCAGTACTTCTGCGTCATACACACAACACTATATGTCAATCAAAGTAAATCTTTTCAACATCCCCATCTGTTCAAACAAAAACATCTTTTTTCTTAATGTTGAGATAAAACTTCACTTATCAACATTCTTAGAAATCAAAACACAGTGAATGAACAATATGCTAAAAATGAAAATAGAGCCTGAGATTATAGGGTTATTTGAAGGTATTTTGAAAACTTGATGCCGTGGTGTGTCCTTTAGTTAGGAATACCTTGTAAAGATCAGATTAATATTAAATTCTCTTTTGGTCATGACAGGCGGAATTCCCGTCCACAGTGGGTGTGTGTGAGGAGCTAGATGCAGCCATGGACACTGATGAGAACTCTCAGATATCAAAGCAATCTCAGAAGAAATACTACATTGACACTAACTCTATATGTGTGCCCAGGAAAGGGATGGAAATGATGTCTTTTTTAAAAGAGGGAATGAGTAAGTTAAAATGGTTATTGGTACAGTGTATGCAATTATCCCACGAGTCTAAATAGTTACTGACATAATAGATGTTCTTTTGTAAATTGAAAACATGTGCTGTGATCTTTGAATTAAAATTCATCAGATGACTTAATTATATATATGGATTTATCATTTTTTAAATAAAGAGTACATTTTCTTCAATCACATTTCTTGAGCTTCATTTTCAAGTTCTTCATTTTCAAACCTCCATATGTGCATGGCTACAATCAACAGTGTAGTTTTTTGTTTTTTTTTTCTTTGCAAAAGGGAAGTATAGAGGGTCATAACTGTGTCTGAAAAACATTATATCAACCACAATAACCTAAAAGAAGGTGGTCATACCCTGTAGAATGTTACAATAGGACATAAGTTCCAGTAAGAATTGAAGAAAATCCAAAGCTGTAATTTTGAAACCCCAAACGAAATAGCTAGAGTTTTTTTTTTCTATTTATTAGCAGTGTTAAATTTCATACAGTTATATGTTCATTTTTTCAGTTGAAGACTGGGATATATTTGAGAAAGTCATGGATCACACATACAACAAACATATGATGTCAGAACCCCAGTATCATCCAGTCATGATGTCAGAACCTTCTGTAAGTACTGCCCTCTGGTGAGCAGTTGCTGATGATTATGTTATAGAGAATTCTTACAGGCCATGTTCCACATTCATGTGCTTCATGCAATGTATAGATTAAAACTTAAAATTTCAATAAATACTAACTAAGATTGAATTGAATTGGATACATTTAAGTTGTTTGAGTTTTAGTCCGGTGGCTTAAGGAAAAAATCGTGACACGGCGGATAAAAGCAGTAAATTTTGCATGTGGGTACCTTTTGACATACTAAATCAAATAAGAGCCGTAGCCCACGGAAAAAAATTACCGTTTGGCCAAAAAATCCAAAATGGCCGCCAATTTATGGAATTCTATAGAAATGTGTACTTATCTATGTTGATTTTTATCAAATAAATTATTTTCTCAGAGTTTTCCACACCCTTATTACCCATGTTATTCATATATGTCAGATAGCAAACAAGTTCCCTTGGACTTTTTAAAAAAATCCAAGATGGCTGTTATATGCCATAGAAACAGCCATAGGAATACTAGTGCACAACTAATGCCAGCTAGAAAGATACGTTGTCCACTATCAAATTAAGTCTGTTTCTCAGATTTTTGTTACCAGCATAATATGTTTGTGGTGAGCAACTAAGAAGCGTTCTTGGGCATTTCGGAAAATCCAAGATGGCTGCCATGTGCCACAGGAATTCTAGTATACGGGGGATTCAACTAATGGCAACTGGAAAGATTAATTTTCCACTATCAAATTAAGTTTGTTTCTGGGTGTTTTCCACATCCTTTCCACCCACACAATATGTATATGGTGAGTAACTAACATGTATTCCTGGGCATTTTGAGAAAATCCAAGATGGCCGCCATATGTCATAGGAATACTTCTAGTGTTACAAAGGGTTGGAACTAATGCCAGCTAATTCACTATCAAATTCAGTTTATTTATATTTTCGTGTTTTACACATAATTATTACACTGTGATACATATCTAGCAGGTAATAAATGTGCACATTTGATCATTTTGAGAAAATCCAAGATGGCCGTCATTGGCCATAGGAATACTACTGGAATTGCAACTGCACATCCATGGCTTTTCATCTACTACCAGGGTGAAATTGTGTTTGCTTATCAAGTTTTGCCCATCCTTATTAGTCCTATGATATATATCTGGTGGGTAAATAGTGTACATCCTTGGATATTCTGAGAAATGCTGCTAGGGAGGCATATGGTTTATTATACATTTACATTACCATGGGTTTGTTTTAAAAATAATTTATGTTTTTCATTCCATTTATTATTACTCCTATGATGTTACCTGGTCTGTAGCCTGTGTGTATCTTTGGGTATTCTGGAAAAAATTCAAGATGTCTGCCTTTTGTCATTAGAATATTCGAACACATAATCAAATAATGCCAGAGATACAAAGAGTACAATTTAAATGCAGTTAACTTGAGATCATTTTTAAATGTTTTTCATATCCTATTTATCCTCATGAAAGACTCCGTGTGTGTAGAAAGTGTATGTATCCTTGTGCATTATTCGGAGAAAACCCAAGATAGCTGCCAGTTGTCATAGGAATATATCATTCAAATGCAAATAGGTGTCAATTAATGGAACAGTTCAGGCATTGATTCCAACATGAAATAAAGCCGTTTGATGTTCAAACATGTTGACATCCTTATTAACCTTACTCTATATAAGTCTGGTGTGTAGCAAGTGTGCATCTTGCGCATTTGAGAAAATTCAAGATTGCTGCAATTCACAATAGGAATAGTACATTCAACTACTGCCAGAGAGACATTGGGTTCAACGTAAAATTAATTTTGTTTCTCGGTATTTCCCACATTCTTTTTGGACTTTGAGATATCTATCCGGTGGGTAACAAGTGTATACCCTTAAGTATTTTGACAAAATATCATGATTACCCTCATTTGCCTTAGAAGTGCCTATAAAATCTAATGCACCAGTTTTCCTATGGGGAAAAGAAGGCCATCTTGGATTTCCCCAAAATGATAAAATATGGACATTAATTACCTAACAGATATGTATCATGGGATAATAATACTAAAAAAAAAAAAACAGAATAACAACTGAATTCAGCTTCATTTTATATGTAAAGCTATCTTCTGCAGGTATTAACTGAACCCCACCTTCTATGGCTAATGGCAGCCATTTTGTTTTGTTTTCTTTTCAAAAAGGATACGCATAACATTCTCATCAAATATATGTTATGTGAATTAAAAAGATGTGGAAAATACTCAGAAACAAACCTAATTTATCAATTAATATTATATCTCCATGGCAGAAGAAGCCCTTTGTGTATACTAGTATTCCTTTGACATGGCGACCATCTTGGATTTTTCTCGAAATGCCTGAGAATAAAGGTTAGTTACTCACCACAAATATATTATTTGTGTAATAAGAAACAATTAGATAGTGGGCAATGCATCTTCCTAGTTGGCATTAGTTAATTGAAAACCTGTGTACAAGATCTAGTATTCCTATGCCATATGGCGGCCATCTTGGATTTTTTCAAGAAGTCCAAGGACACTACTTTGTTACCTGACACATATAAATAATATGGGTAATAAGGATGTGGAAAACATTGAGAAAATACTTAATTTGATAAAAATCAACATAGGTATGTATATATTTCTACAGAATTTCACAAATTGGCGGCCATTTTGGCTTTTTTGGCCAAACGGTAATTTTTTTCCGTGGGCTACGGCTCTAATTTGATTTAGTATGTCAAAAGGTACCCACATGCAAAATTTGGTGCTTTTATCCGCCGTGTCACGATTTGGCCATTTTTTGCCCTAAGCAACCGGACTATTTGTCTATGAGAATTTTCTGTTGTAATACTATTTTATTAGCATTGCTTTATAATGGCTACTTATTTTTCAGTGGAACACAAGAGGGAAAAGAGAAAAATTAACAGAAATCATGTTTGAAAAATATAATATTCCTGCCTTTTTCCTATGCAAGAATGCAGTTCTAGCAGCGTATCCTTGTTCTGATGATTTTTATAACAATGAGAGATATTTTAATTAAATACAAATATTATGCTTCAAGAAATATTTAAGTTTAAGTTGAACGGATGAATATGTTCTTAACTTCATAGGACTTCTATAAAAGTTCTGAGTTTATTTTATGTATAATTTTGAGTTGTGTATCTCCTTGACTGCCCATCAGTTTTGCTAATGGACGTTCTACAGGTCTTGTACTGGACAGTGGTGCTACCCATACAACTGCTGTGCCTGTTTATGATGGTTATGTTTTAGGCCAGGGTAAGTTATTCTTAAGTTCTATCTATGCATAAAAGTGTTGCCAGGTTCCAGTTGATTGATTGATTGATTGAGAGAGAGAGAGAGCGTGAGTGTGCTGCCCAATCTATCTCTCTCTCTCTCAAATTTTGATGTGAGGTTGATCTTTGTCTCGGAACTTGGATTATTTGCAAAAGATGAGATAGAAGAATATCAATCTTTATGCCTTTTGACTACGAAATATTTTATGAATATTTTTATTGGTTTTCTAAAATTTCTAATGTTTTATAATAATGTGTATGGTATTCCCTTTTTATATTCATATATTGGAATTTTATGGTCTGCTGAGTGTTTCTGCAGTGTTTATTGCATTAATTCATGAATGCATTTTATTTTAGCTATTGTAAAATCTCCATTAGCTGGAGACTTCATCACACTTGAGCTGAGAAAGTTGATGGAAGACCTATCCATAGATGTAGTTCCTCCATACATGATTGGCAGCAAGGTAGATAAATACAAAACTGAACAACATTTTCTTATAAAACTAATTTTTAGTGAGTGGTTTGCTGTTGTTTGAATTTGAAAGATTTTAGGTACGGGATTGCCATACATTATCAAATGTCCATTCAGAACCAATCTTTGTTAAAAGGAGTCATACTCTATTACTAACCAGTATCATCACATGAACAGAGCCCATATAAACCCAGAATATCAATTCCTTGTTAATTCTGTGGGTGTCTGGTGACTGCAGGTGGACCTGTTTCCAGTTTATGTAAGATCAGGTCTGAACACACCTTTGATATCTGAGATGAGATTGATGGCTTAATTTTGTCGTCTCCTTCCTGTATTTGATAGGAGGCAGTGTCAGAAGGTGTAGCACCAAAATGGCAGAAGAAGAAAGATCTACCAGAAGTTACCAAGTCATTCCACAGTTACATGGTCAAAGTAAGTGAACATCATTGTGAGGAGATTACAGTACATGGGGGCATGAAATGAACATTTTAAAAAATAGGTCACTTTTAGCTTAAACATGATGATCTGTTATAACTCTAATGTTAAGTTGGCTAAAATGTGTCATGCAATCCATTTACATGTCATCTTTCTTTTTTTTTCCTAGGATGTGTTACAGGATGTAGCAGCATCCATCCTTCAAGTGTCAGATGGTCCCTATGATACAGCGTAAGTTGTTAGAATTTCAATGATTGATCGTTACTTGAATGTGATTTGTAGCGCTTGTAGAATACAGCATATTAAAAATATAACTTGAAATGCCGAGTTAAGATGGTTTGTTAAATGTATGTCCTCGAAGAAATGAAAAACAAGAGCGAGCAGCTTAGTCGTATTAAAAAGCTGTAGTGTTCATATTTGTCTTTACAAAAAGGCTTAGTAGATAATCATATATCTGAGCAAAAGATTGGTCTGCATCGATTGTTCTAATGAGCATAGGGCATATAAAGAGTATATGTTCATTTGCATTATAATGTTATATCCACACGAAAATTGATTACCCTAAAACATGCATTGGCACCCTGCATGGGGAAATCTAAATTGAACTCTTGTAAGTTGTACATCTTTCTACTTTCAGTGCAGCTGAGTCATTACCCATGGTGCATTATGAGTTCCCAAGTGGATACAATATAGACTTCAGTGAGGAGAGGATAAAAGTTTGTGAGGGTCTTTTTGATCCTTCATATATCAAGGCAAGTCTATTAAATGAGAATAGGAAAAAAAACAATGCGAAACAAGATTCCACTGTTGATTATATGTATTCTGGATCAAAATCTGCATACTTTCTGTCACAGAACATAGCTATGAGGCTTTTTAACATTCATATAAAAATAAAGATGACATTTTGATTCTCTTTAGAATATCACCCAGATATTCTTATCCTTTGTCTCTTCAGGAGGCCCAAGGCAACAGTATGCTGGGTATGGGCCATACAGCCACCACCAGTGTGGGCATGTGTGACATTGACATCAGACCGGTAAGATTATAAGACTGCAGTAATCCCTTACTGAATTTAAATGACAGTAATGACATGTTATATTTCCCAAAACAGTGTTTTGTTATTTATGCTTAAAATGGACATGTTTTTGATCCATTTTAAGCATAAATAATTGAATTGTTCTCAAGAACAGCTATTACCTGTAGGCAATTTCAGAATCAGAATTCTCTTGAACAGTCTTCACAGATTCTCTGCATATCAGTACCACTGAATGATTTAATGGTGTGTAAGAAGCTAAAAGAAATCATTTTCTGTTTCAGAGTTTATATAACAGTGTCATATGTGTGGGTGGAAACACATTGATCCAAGGATTTGTTGACAGACTGACCAGAGATCTCAGCTCAAAGACACCCCCTGTGAGTAAATGCCACATAGCAATACCACAACAGTGTGACAGAAACAGTTTGGCTGGTGCATCAGTCATTCTCAACTAACACAATCATAGTAATGCAGCACATGCTGAGATTCAGATCCATTCTGTGCCAACTTCCTAAGTTTCCGACTTCTGTATGTGCTGTTATCACACTTAAACAAAGATGTGCCTACAGTCATCCAGATTTCATGGTTCTGTATATTGGCATGGTGAATACATCCCACCACCTCTAATGTGTGATTAGCAGGTTAAAAGTTTGTTTGTGGCTTGTGGGTATGTTTGGAAATTTGAAAACTAAAAAGCTGGCCTGCATCTGCTCTGAATCGGAGAATTGTGTAGTAGCACATCTATCAGAACTGATAGTCCAGTGGCTTAAGGCAAAAAAATGGCCAAATCGTGACACGGCGGATAAAAGCACCAAATTTTGCATGTTGGTACCTTGTGACATACTAAATCAAATTAGAGCCGTAGCCCATGGAAAAAATGTACCGTTTGGCCAAAAAAACCAAAATGGCCGCCAATTTGTGAAATTCTGTAGAAATATATACATACCTATGTTGATTTTTATCAAATAATGTATTTTCTCAATGTTTTCCACATCCTTATTATCAATATTATGCATATATGTCAGATAATAAACGAGTGTCCTTGGACTGTTTGAAAAATCCAAGATGGCCGCCGTATGGCATAGGTATACTAGAACATGTACAAGGGTTTTCGACTTATGCCATACTATCTAATTAATTTTGTTTCTGAGTGCCTTATTACACAAATAATATATTTGTGGTGAGTAACTAACCTTTATTCTCAGGCATTTCGAGAAAAATCCAAGATGGCCGCCATATCAAAGGAATACTAGTATACACATAGGGCTTTTTCTGCCAAGGAGATATAATATTAATTTATAAATAAGGTTTGTTTCTGAGTATTTTCCACATCTTTTTAATACACATAATATAAATGTGCTAAGAATGTTATGTGTATCCTTTTTGGAACACAAAACAAAATGGCTGTCATTAGCCATAGAAGATGGGGTTCAGTTAATACCTGCGAGAGATAGGCTTTCATATAAAATGAAGCTAAATTCAGTTGTTTTTCTGTTTTATTATTATTATTATTATTATTATTATTATTATTATTATCACATGATACATATCTGTTAGGTAATTAATGTCCATATTTGATTGATTTTGGGAAATCCAAGATGGCCTTCTTTTCCCCATAGGAAAACTGTTGCATTGGATTTTATAGGCACTTCTTAGGCAAATGAGGGTAATCATGGTATTTTGTCAAAATACTTAAGGGTTCACACTTGTTACCCACCAGATAGATATCTCAAAGTCCAAAAAGAATGTGGGAAATACCGAGAAACAAAATTAATTTTATATTGAACCCAATGTCTCTCTCTGGCAGTAGTTGACTGTGCTACTCCTATTGTGAATTGCAGCAATCTTGAATTTTCTCAAATATGCAAGATGCACACTTGCTACACATCAGATTTATATAGAGCAGGGTTAATAAGGATGTGAACATGTCTGAATATCAAACAGCTTTATTTCATGTTGGAATCAATGTCTGAACTGTTCCATGAATTGACACCTATGTGCATTTGAATGATATATTCCTATGACAACTGGCAACGAATAGTACTCAAGGATATATATTTTTTCTACACACACAGAGTCTTTCATAGGGATAAATAGGATATGAAAAACATTTTAAAACTATCTAAAGTTAACTACATTTAAATTGTACTCAGTGTATCTCTGGAATTATTTAATTATGTGTACGAATATTCTAATGACAAAAGGCAGACATCTTGACTTTTTTCAGAATACCCAAAGATACACACTTGCTACCAGTACAGACCTGGTATACATCATAGGGGTAATAATAAATGGAATGAAAACATAAATTATTTTTAAAACAAACCCATGGTAATGTAATTGTATTATGAGCCATATGCCTCTCTAGCAGCAATTGAAACCCACCCATTAGTATTCCTTTGCCAAATTGTAGCTTTCTTGGATTTTCTCAGAATATCCAAGGATGCACACTATTTACCCACCAGATATATGTCAAAGGATGGGCAAAACTTGATAAGCAAACACAATTTCACCTTGGTAGTAGATGAAAAACCATGGATGTGCAGTGGTAATTCCAGTAGTATTCCTATGGCCAGTGACGGCCATCTTGGATTTTCTCAAAATGATCAAATATGCACATTTATTACCTGCTAGATATGTATCACAGTGTAATAATAATGTGTAAAACACTGAAAAAATAAACTGAATTTGATTATGAATTATGTTTTTCCTAGCTGGCATTAGTTCCAACCCTTTGTAATACTAGAAGTATTCCTATGACATATGGTGGCCATATTGGATTTTCTCAAAATACCCAAGAATACATGTTAGTTACTCACCACATACATATTGTGTTGGTGGAAAGGATATGGAAAACACTCAGAAACAAACTTAATTTGGTAGTGGAAAATTAATCTTTCCAGTTGTCATTAGTTGAATCCTGCGTATACTAGAATTCCTGTGGCACATGGCAGCCATCTTGGATTTTCCAAAATGCCCAAGAACACTTCGTAGTTACTCACCACAAACATATTATGTGGGTAACCAAAATCTGAGAAACAGACTTAATTTGATAGTGGACAACGTTTCTTTCTAGCTGGTATTAGTTGTGCACTAGTATTCCTATGGCTGTTTCTATGGCATATGACAGCCATCTTGGATTTTTTCAAAAGTCCAAGGGAATTTGTTTGCTATCTGACATTTATGAATAAAATGGGTAATAAGGGTATTGAAAACTCTGAGAAAAATAATTTATTTGATAAAAATCAACATAGGTATGTACATATTTCTATAGAATTCCATAAATTGGCGGCCATTTTGGATTTTTTGACCAAACGGTAAATTGTTTGAGAGGGCTACGGCTTTAATTTGATTTAGAATGTCAAAAGGTAGCTACATGCCAAATTTGGTGCTTTTATCCGCCGTGTCACGATATTTTCCTTAAGCCACCGGACTATGAGGCAGATCTACAGTACTGCTGGATTGTGAATAGTGCAAGTGTTTGATGTGAGATTATTTGCTTTAGTTTCTTTTAAGAATATTTTAAAATATTGTATGATTTGTAATTATATTTCAGAGTATGAGGCTAAAAGTGATCACTCCCCCAGGGATGGCAGAAAGAAGATTCAGCAGTTGGATTGGTGGCTCTATCTTGGCTTCACTGGTAAGAAAGCAGAAATATCAATGTATCTTATCCTTGCCTCATAGTCAGACTTAGTTTGATCTGCATGCACTTTTGTTCCTAAACTTCTTATGAAATGATTCCCCACATTGATTGGTAATTTCTTCACTAAACTTCATATCTTCCTAATTTTGTTTTGATTTTGGTTATTTTAAGTTGAATCTCCTTTTAACACTCCCATGTTTACTTGTATTTTGTAGGGTTCATTTCAACAAATGTGGATTTCAAAACAAGAATATGAAGAGGGAGGCAAGAGCTGTGTAGAAAGGAAATGCCCTTGAATATGTGCATGATTGTTGAAAGTGACAGTTTCCTCTGGACCATAGTTTTTTATTTTTTAGATTCAATGAAAACAATTTTCCTACAGTAAAAAGGAATATGATGAAAATCATGGGTTTTAAAATGTGTACATTATCTTTGTATAATATATAAAGTTGGCTGTCTAACATACAAATGAATTGTGGAGAGCTAAATGTATTTTTTCCAAGTGTATATAGGACTCTTAAGGTAACTTCCATCATCACTTAAGGTTGTTACTAATTATAAATTTGAGTCAGAGTATGAGAAATGTCCATTGTTTTCTCAATTTAGAGACATCATACCTTCCTGTATGTATCTTTTATGACATACTTCATGTAAATACATATAAAACATACTTGTGGTTTGTTTTTATTGTTTGCAACAAAACCAAATGCTTGTTCATTTCTCTCTCCTTGCACATAACATCTACTGTTTATACAAATTGGTTTTAAAATTTAACAAATGCTCTTTAAAATAGTAAGTCTATGGTTGCATATATGAGGTGATGTTACTTAGATGTCTGAACCAAATACTAGAAACACACTTCAACCTCTTTATTGTAACATCAACTTTTATTCACTACTCTCATGTATCAAAACCCATTTTTTATATAAAATATTTAAAACCACTAGCCAGAAAAAAATTTAATGTATTCTCAGTCATTCTTCAGCTACAAAATGATTTCACCAGATTTTTCAGCTGTACACTTTTCTCCCTCTTCTATGCTCATGTGGACATCGATGTGTGAATTTTAAATAAAATGAAAAAATCTTCTAACTCAATATTTTTACAACAAAATAAACCAATAACTAAGAAATTATATCCCTTTATATTCAAACTTGGCATAAATAAAAAATACCACGAGTAGAATTAACAATGAACATCAGGCCTTTTCATTATAACACTTAATACCCTTTTTTTATTGGCCAAATGTTACTCGCCCAGCTTGAAATCTACACATTTTTTCAGTTAATAAAACTGACACATCTTTGGTTTGTTGCTTTTCTTAAATCAAACAATTATTATGTATAGACACCACCATATGTTAACTTTGTTTCAAATAAGAACAAGTCTGGTGGCCCCCCTCTTGCTGACAAGAGCAGCTTTCAGAAATTTAACTACAGTAATTAACAAAATGAATAAATGAATTTCCATAAAATACCTTTGAAAGGTTAGTTGGCTTAGTGTCTTAAAGTACATTATCATGAGCTACAGGAACTGAGAAAATTTTTAAAATGAGGTTTTAGATCGTTTAAAATTTTTAATTACTGTCCCACTATTCGCTGGCCTGAGAAGATTCATCGACATGGGTTATTTCTCACACTGCATGAGCTGTTTTAGATGTGCAAAGTTATATTATGCTGAAATGTATAATAAATAAAAAGAAAAGCTTTGTATACCCCTGACTTTGCTAAACTTGAGCCAAGTGACAAAACTACAAAAATTTCTCAAAGTAAAAAAAAATGTTCTATCAAGCAAAATGTGGAGAAAAAGCAATCACTTAAGCAGACTACACAGTTACTTGTACATTTAAATGCAAATCCAACATTGTGCCAAAATATACCCTTTAAAGAAGCTGGAATATTCCAAGTCCCTACTTAAAAGTATGCCCCGACAAAGTTTACGGCATAATTTGGCAATTACCCAATCAATTCAAACAAAAAATTTTCATGAAACAATGCTCAGTGCGTNTCTTATATTGTGTTTACAGTGTTGCATATATGCTGAACAATGAAAAAACCGCATAACTACTAAAATAGTGGCCCGATCATGCTGATTTTCGAACTTGACCTGCGTTTTAGTAAGATTGATTACTCCTGTGAGTTTCATGACAACAGGCCTAACGGTTTTCCTTAAAATGTGTTTACAAGGTTGCATATCTGCTGAAAAGTGAAAAAACAGCATAACTTCTACAATAATGGCCCGATCATGCTGATTTTCGAACTTGACCTGCGTTTTATGAATATTCATCAGCTCTGTAAATATAAAGCCAAAAAGTAAAACTGCCTTCCACTTATCGTGTTTACAAGGAAAGTGCACGGCGACGGCATCGGCATCGGCATCGCCATCGGCGACGGCGACGACAGACGCAGGTGATGGCAATATGTACAGACACATCTGTGTCTGTACATAAAAATGGTGGTTATCTCCGGGAAAGCAGGAAATATCATTATATTATCTTTATAATTGGTTAAATACCAGCCGTTTGGTTGCCAACTAGCAAGTTTAACATAATCTAATCCTGTATAATGATGGAAATACATGGATTAATTTTCCTATGAACTCCATTACATGCCATACATGAGAATTCCATCTGCCTGTTATCATGGATAAGTAGATATGACTTCACTGAAGGTCAGAGCCAATAGACAAGCTTGTCCCCAAGAATTCATAACTTTGAGAAATTCAGATGATCTAGCTAAAACAACTTGTTAAACCACTTATAAGACTTCCCAAAATTAAAAACACCATGCAAGCCCCATATCTCCTGGGTAGAGCCAAATCTAAAAGAGATAGGTTTACTATTGCTTATGTATATATGTATACATATATATTTACAACTTACATTGCATGCATCATTCTCTTCCCCTTCCTCTCTCCCATTGTCATCTAATAAATCAGCACTGCTCTCATTGCCCTGCATGATTCCATACTTGGCTGCCCCCTCCTTCATTTCAGGTGGAACTTTCAGCTCTGGATCCACTTCAACATGGGTGTGAGTTTGGACTGATGCCAGAGTGGCTATTTCTTCATAGGTTCTACGCCTTTCTTTCTTTTTCTAGAGAAATACCAGTTGAAAAAAACTGAAATCAGCTTGAGTATAAAGTGTAAAATATAATCAGAAAACAGATTTGCAAGGTATTCTACAAAAAAGGATACCAATGCAAGTTTTAAATTTCACTTTTTTTTTTTTCAAAACTTGATTACATATCATAATGTGGGGGGAGAAAAAAAATGTTGCAGCCATTCTACAAAAGACCATCAATTTCATTATATGATACAGTGCACTGGTAAAAGCCATATGTTATTTCAAATATGACTAAGACAATTACCAGTTTAATATCCAGGTCTAATAAAAAAAGATCATTAATTTTATTCCCTCATGTCACACTGTATTTCCCTCATTGAGGTAATGTCGTACAATTTAAGGCCTTGGACAAAGTCGTCAGAATGTTTTACAAAACTCAGGAAAGTGATATTAAACCAAGGCACAGCCAAAGTTGATAACAACGCACCGACTTAAAGCAAAAATGTGCTTTTGTTTTATTATATAATGTAATTTCTGAATGTCAATATTCTCCAAGAATAAATCAAAAGCTGCAACAGCACCGTCATCTGAAACTGCTGTCATCTGATTGATAATATACGCAGCCATGAATTTTCCTATTCTTTCATTCATTTTTTTTCAATTTGATAAAAAATAAATCACATTATTGGTCAATATTCTGTTTGATCAGATCTCAAATTCACATATATAAGACCACAATATATGCCAATAATAAAGTGAGATCTATTACTGCCTTACCTCTTTTCTGTACATGATTGCCTTCATGGTATACTCTAAAATAAAGAATAAATATATTCCCCCTAGTACTGTCAATCCTTTCCATATATATGCCCCTTCTTCATCATATTCTGCTAATCCAAAAGACTGGAAAGACAACAAAGTTAAGATTTAAACATTATAAATATCATTCAACAATAATGTTGAAAAAAATGTAGAAAAGAAAGAAGAAACCATCACAACTAAGAAGACAGTATTCATACAGTATTCAAAAAAAGTGTAAAGAGAAAATGAAAATTCCAACAATGTTAACATAGCAAAGGTAAAGGATAGAACTTAATTTGACAGATGTTGGCAACTTTGTCATTTGTGGAATTAATCTTGCATATTCTGTAGAATCTACTCCATTCAAATAGTATTTTAGTAATCAGTTTTGCGAAAAGTTCTATGTAAACACTTTTCCTTATGGCAAGATTTTTGATGTTCCTAGTTATTTTATAAGTCTTAATATTTTCTACCAAATCATACTGAAATGGCAAGAATTAAAAACATATTCAACTGAAGTTGTAGAGCTAGATTAATTTATTACAATTACTCACATCTGGTATCAAGAAAAACAAAGCACTTCCAGCCAGTGTTCCTACAGCAAGGGCCACCATGAATATCAGTAACTTTTTGTAGAAAAATTTGTTCATGAAAGGGACCAGGAGCACACCAAGGAGAGCACATATATTGGTTATAGTCACAAACAGAATACCATATCCCCAAACTGAAACAAAATAATATACAACAAATTATATCAGTTGAAAAATAAAAGACAGTGGCATTTTACTCTTGGTCACTATTCAGCTTAAATTAAGATTATAAACCAATCTGACAATGATTCAAGTATTGCTCCACTGGCATTTAGATAAAACAGAATTAATCAATTGGTTCTTACCTTCTCCTTTTGTAGGCTTTTTAGATTTGCTGCTTTTTGCCAAACGGGGTATAAAACATTTTTTATTCTGAGCTTGATACAGTAGAGTCGGGCTTATCTTTTTCAGGGTTACAGAGTTGATAGTGCTTCTATTGGGTAGGGAATGGAAAGAAACTATTTCTTCAGCTGTGAGGCACTGAAAAAGAAACAACTGATACGTAAGTTGATAACATCTTAACCCAATTTCATTGTGTGAGGTCATTTCCACAAGACACACTTTTTAACATTAAAATTTTTTTAAAAATTGGTATTCATTTATTTTTACAATTGATTTACTTATTCTGTTCCTTTTTTTTTTTAATTTCACATGCAATCAAGGTACATTACTACCTCTATCAGGCAATCTATTTTGTCCCTGTAGGTAATATAAGTAATATAATACTCAAATCTCCTTTAACTAATTACTTTCTTAGATATGGAAAGCTGCTTTTTATTGTGTCACAGTATTTTCTATGTATGTTTGTGCTACACTCCTTTTCAGGGTGTGCTTATCAATGACATATATGCCAAAGTAAACAGCGCTACTGTGTGCACACACTCTGTTGTGTGCATTACCACCTACCCCCCCCCCCCCCCCC